TATCTATCTATCTATCTATCTATCTATCTATCTATCTATCTATCTATCTATCTATCTATCTATCTATCTATCTAAAATATAGATGTAGGAGCCTCGGTTGGATGTCCAACTCACCCCACATCCAAGTCGGCCATTTTGATTAGGTCATGTGACTAGCAGCTTTCTCAGGTGGAAACGAAACTTTACAGTCTATACGAAATCAGAAGATAAACGATGTCATAACCCTAAACCTAACCATAACCCTAAACCTGATCCTAACCCTGACCCTAACCCTGACCCTGAACCCTAACCCTGACCCTGACCCTAACCCTGACCCTAACCCTAACCCTAAACCTGACCTTAACCCTAATCCTAAACCTAACCCTAACCCTGACCCTAACATTGATCCTAACCCTAATCTTCCCTGATCCTAACCCTAATCTTAACCCAGACCCTAACCCTAACCCTGACCCTGACCCTAACCCTGACCCTAACCCTGACCCTAACCCTAACCCTAACCCTAACCCTAACCCTTAATAATTGGGAGAAATAAATATTTTTTGGTTAAACTTGTTTGGACTTATTGTACAAACCTATTTAACATCCACTATTTAAACATAAAATTATGCATAGAGTTTAATTCAGTGTTTGCTAGATTACTTTCTCTATTTTTAAATTAATGTCTATATTGCCATGAAGCAATTAGGATTTTCTTGCCTGGGATCTTCCTATTGGTGACCTAATCAAAATGGCCGACTTGGATGTGGGCGGAGTTGGATATCCATGGATATCCATAACCATAACCAGCTCATTATTCTGTACTTAATGCTTTCAGTGACCATAAAAACTCCCATAGTCTCCATTCCAGGTCAGATTTGACCTTTTTATGTCATTTTTCTCATCATCTCGCTTTTTTTTTTCCCTCCGCTTTTGTTTACCGTCATATTTCACTGTCAGCCCTGTTAGGTCTTATTTCATTACCATAATTGTCATTTTTATAATGATTATCACCACCACCACCAGACAGAGTCCTCCACTAATCAATTTAATCTTTGAGGATGTTGGGTTTTCATTACCTCTCACAGTGAATGAAGAGGGGACCAGAATCATCAGTTTAAAACTAAATATCAGTCTCATTTTGTGGTGCAACATCAATAAAGACAAAGAAATAAACCCAAAAAACACAATAAAAGCTCTAAAAGCCTCTTTAGAGACGTGTAGCTCCTGCTTTTTATCTCTTTAAAGTCTGATCCAAGTATAAAACAAAACAGAAAATTACTTTTTTTTTTTGGTTTGAAGTCTTTATTTGGCCTTTTAACAAAATATGTAAAAAGAAAAAACTGAAATACATTTTTAATATTAACCCTTTAAAGCCTGAACCAAGAATAAAACAAAACAGAAAATTACTTTTTTTTGGTTTTAAGTCTTTATTTGGCCTTTTAACAAAATATGTAAAAAGAAAAAAACAGAAATACAATTTTAATATTAACCCTTTAAAGCCTGATCCAAGAATAACACAAAACAGAAAATCACTTTTTTTTGGTTTTAAGTCTTCATTTGTCCTTTTAAAAAAATATGTAAAAAGAAAAAACAAAAATACATTTTTGATATTAATAATTTATTATAATGCGATAAGTCAAGATTATTTTTTGTGTATCTTCTGCCCCCTTAATTAATAATTTAATTGAATTATTTTAATTTAATTTAATTTAATTTAATTTATTACTATACTCTGCCCCCTGTTATCAGGTGTATCTGATTGAGTAAAATAGGATTTTGAGCAAAGTTTTTTCCATTAAATTACGCAAAACATTCCAGAAACCGTATGTATCAAATATAAAACATTTGGCATTACAGGGTTAAAGGGTTAACGGCCTTTTTTCTTTGATTTTTGGGACTTTAAACAATCGAGGTGTAAAAACTTTGACATGTTTTAATTCCCTGTTGACTCCCTGATCCTCCGGGGGTTTTGAGCCCTTTTCTGATAAAACATCAGTGGGATAAACGCTCAGAGGGAGGAAAACCTTTAATTTCTGGGCGACTGCAGATGAAAGTGAGGCCTCCTTTTGAACGTTTGCTTTTAGGATGTTTTTCTGGGCAAACCCACATCTTTATATTTCTATTCCAGAGATAAAGATTCAGCCCACTAACGTCTTTATCACGAACAGGAGATTTGGCCTTTTCCTTTTCCCTTTAACGCGAACATATCTGAACTTTTAAAACTCCACTTGATCCAGATGCGAGAATTCAGATAAACTAAATAAACTTTTTATATTGTGAGGCTTCTAAACCCATTTTAGGAACATTTAACAGAGTAAAATAAAAAGTAAAAATAAAAAAAACACATAAACACAAACAGATTGACCTGATATGAAGCTGAAAATTATCATGAATGAAATAAAGAATAGAAATAAACTCTAAATATTTTAAAGCCATTTTAGGAACATTTAACTGAGTTTCGTGATAAAAAAAACAGGGTAACACAAACAGATCAACCTGATATGAAGCTGAAAATGATAATGAATTAAATAAAGAATAGAAATAAACTAAATATTTTAAAGCCATTTTAGGAACATTTAACAGAGTTTCATGATAAAAAAAACACGTTAACACAAACAGATTAACCTGATGTGAAGCTGAAAATGATAATGAATGAAATAAAGAATCGAAATAAACTCTAAATATTCTAAACCCATTTTAGGAACATTTAACAGAGTTTCATGATAAAAAAAAAACACGTTGACACAAACAGATCAACCTGATATAAAGCTGATGATGATAATGAATGAAATACAGAATAAAATACGAATAAAGAATAAAAATAGCTGTGAATTTAGCCAAATAATCATGTAAAATAAATGGATCCATCCTTCTCAGATGGACTTGGAAACTCTTCCTAAACTTGACAGTGGTCAGTTTAAGCTTTTTTTCTTTAAATTCATATCCAGAAAATCAAATTTATGGACAGCAGTGATAAAAATAAAGGAAAACCTGAGCTATCAGCTTTAAAAAAGGGGATTGTGAGCAATAAATACGGCACCAGAACCATCTTTGTTATAACCATTGTGTCCTGACATATTCAGTTATTAGTTTTACAGAATCGATGTGTCTCTGACATTTATAAAATCCCTTCAGTTGTTGGA